AACATTAGGAATTTGATGGGAAATAAGAAGAATTCTTCAGTGTTCTTAACTTGAATGTGTTTTACAGCCATCATGAATATTATTCTTAGGAAATATACTCAGATAATTAAATCTCTGACTCCCTTCCCAGGTAATGGGTAAAATTATACCCACAATTTGTTGTAAGAATTCAAAATAAAACAAAAATTATACAACTCTCAGGATGCTAAAGCACATACTTGACATATCATTTTGCCTACAAAGAATGTATAGATATTCATATTGAATACAAATTGTTTAACTTGTAAAAAATAATTAATATAAGAGGAATTAGTAAAGGGCCTGATAATGTTTGCTTGGTATTAAAAGTGCTGGATGACACTCCAACGCAAGGGTTTAACTGAGTATTTCTGTTAATAATTGTTGCAACAATTGCTCCTATCGGTAGAACCAGTCAACCCCAAAATAAAATGAAATCTACTATTTTAAAAATAGCCTGCTGCAAGACTTTACAAAAAGAAGTGCTGCTTAGCAATTAGAAAATACATTTTTTCTTATATAAAGAATATACTTTACAAAGACAAGACAACAGGCTCTCAAACCTGTTGAAATCATCTGAAATACCTATATACAGCTCTTCAGAACTTACAATTTTGTATCGAAAAAATCAAAGAAAAGCAAGAGACTAATGCAGGAAATTACTGCATGCATGATATTAGGGAAACATTTAAGAACATTTACTTTGAAACAGTGAAGCCTTCTATTCTGACGAATGTTTAGTGATGTTATGTCTAGAATTATTTTTGCTTGGTAAGCTAAAGTACTTTCACAAAGAAAGCACATGATATGTAGGTTAAGCAATAGCTTCAAGACTCTTGAATGTTGCGCATGCTCATTCTGTTAGACTTTGTCCTCAGTGCTCGATAAATTAGCTATATCTTACATATTATGAGTCGAAGTCTTACATATTATGAGTCAAAGAATTAAAGAACATCAGCTCTGATTGTATTGATCGAAGCACTGTATAGCAGAGCTGACACTGAACTACATTACTTCAAGGAGATCTGTCTGTGGAACATCTGGTGACTCCACCAGCTAGGGAGACAGACTTCCATGAGTTCCTCACACTTGCTAAGCTTTGGAACACGAGTAATAAACATTCCCAATAAGAAGTGTCATTTCAAAGTGAAGCCAGTATTTTGCACCACTAGAGTTATTTAGGATGAGTGATGACTTTGGGGACATACTTCGGTAATGATATTTTTGAGGAAAGTTTGTCCCTTTTCTTCATGTTCATATAATTCATTAACCTAGTTTAAATAAAATCCTGTTATTTAGATCAGACTTGTGATAACAAAATGTTGAAGGAGCTTTGAGAGAAAGCAGCTACAGTATATACTTCAGATTCTTTCCCCCACTGCATGCAATCAGCTTCTTGATTTTCAGATATTATTTTATAGCCTTATTTTTTTCCCTTGAGCTCCAAGACCTAACACTAAGGGGCACCAGAGAACTGAACTGCATCTGTTCAGATCCATCAGGATCCCAGCTGCTGCAACTAATGTTGTAAGTTATTCACCATGCTAGGTGGAGAGGGAATGGGGCTTTGGGGGAAACATAACAGGCGAAACAACAGTTCTGCATGACACATTCTCTGTTACAGAAAACTGTCACTGGAAAAGCAAGGATGCACTCATTTCAGGAATGCTGAATGTCTTATTATAGTTTATTGCTAGGTGTTGAAAAAGAACTCACTCTATTTTTCCAGACAAAAGTTGGGAAATGTGTGAAAATATTTCATGATGCGAAAATGGATTTTGTGGAGAAGCCAAGTATATCTAAAAAATCCTAGCAGCTTGACTTTATTTGCTTTGATCCTAGACAAGTGTAAACAGAGGAGCACAGACTCAGGAATCCATTCTTACATTAAGTTTCGGATGAGGTCTGGATACCAGCATTTTTTCATTAACAGTTCTTAAAATTCCACTATGGAGATAAAGCACATTTCTAATTTCCCCATGGATTGCAAAACTGCCTATTACCCTTTCATTTTCCCAACAGGACAACAGGAAAACAATACTTAAAAAAATAAATCAAGCCTGTTTGCCGGGTGGGGACTCCAAAACTGACTTCCTTCACCCCAAGTTTGGCTGTCAAATAGAGAATAATTATGCAGCCAGTGCCACATATATTAGTAGAGCACATTCTGAAAATCTCAGACCTGATGTCAGGAACCTGTTGTTTATCCCAGGGTTGTTTGGTTGGTTTTTTTTTTTTGGTCCTGTATTTCTGTTTCAGTCCCTCTATTCCACCACAAAATACATAACCAAACAAGCAAAGTACAATTAAATAAAAGACACTACCTGTTAGAGAAGTTAAGTTGTTCTGATTCCCTTTTAAAAGCTCGGTCATGGTTTTGTCCCAGAACAGAAAGCATTACAAAAATGCAGATATAGTACAGGGCCCAGTATGTCAAATCATTGCAATCAAAGCTCCAAGACCAAAATTAATAATGTACCATTAGCAGATGGTGTGAGCTGATTGACTGAGAATTGCAGAGATGCATTCTGATTTGAGTATTGTAGACTTTTTCTGATGATATTAGCACTTATTTCTGTGTCTTTAAGTAGTCCATCAAAATAAAATCCACAGATAACTTCTGCGCGGTGTAGAATTTGACTCATAGATCTTTTAAGGCCAGATGAGACCATTATGATAATGCGCTTTGACCCCCAGCATAACACAGGGCATAGAACCTCGCTCAGCAATTCCTCCCTCGGGTCTGCGTCTTCTGCTTGAGGTATACCATCTCCTTTTGAAAGACATCCAGCCTTGATTTATTACTCAAAGTGATGGAAATTCTAGCACATTCCTTGGTAAGCTCACCCTTCAGTTAATGACAGCTGCAGTCAGAAAAGGTACAAGTTTTGTCCTCCTCTGATACGGTTTTGTTTCAGATTTCTTCTCACTACACCTTTTGAAACTGAATTAGAGAGCTGTCAGGGATCTATATCAGCTTATAGACCATAGCCATGTTTGTTAAGAAATAAAGCTTTCTTTAACCAAATAATGGGGAAAAGCCACCTTTTGGGGTACCTTGTGCACCTTGTTCAAGGGCCATTAGCCCTAAATGGTCCCTTACTCTAGGATGGAGAAAGCCTCCAGAACAAGGAAAGGTATGGCCTCTAAGCCTTCCCCCAGTCCAATGGAGAAATTAAAATATACGTCTTGGATATGCTATGGCCAGACAGCATACCTGATGTCTCGAGAGGAAGACCTTGTAACTCCAGGTCTTCATCTGATGATGTTCAACCTCTAGCTGGCACCTTCTCGTCTTGTGCGGGACCCAAGTTTTTCTGTTGCTGTTACATTAAGGTGTGTCAGCAAGCAAGATGAAGGTAACTTAGGAGTGACCAAACAATGTGTTTATTTAAACAAGAGACCTTGCTGGTTGGGGCTAGAAGGTGGTGGGATCTCTGCCGTGGGTCTGAGCGGAGATCATCAGCGATTCATCACCCAAATAGGAGAGTTAAGCCTGCTCTCTCTGTCTCTCTCTCCAGACAGTGACACCTAAAAGGTGAAACACAAAGACTGGCAGTATTTACCCAGCTCATGTGCTGCACCGGGGTTTTGCAAAACTTCTCTTGGGGCAACAGCTTGAAGTTTATGGGCATTATGATTTCCAGCTCGCTGACTGGAAGACAGGCAGCTGTGCTCAGGCGTTTTACTGCGGGGCCAAAACCTGCCAGGATCCAGCGCCTGGAGTTTCATATGCCATTTATGATTTGCTACGACAAGGACAGACACGGCGACAGACCTCTCCAGCCACCATCCTGTGTGGACATGGTGTTTCAGGGCCACAAAGGGAAGGAGACCCTGAAGGAGAGAGGGCTGGAGGGTGGTACCGAGCAGTCCCTTCGGTGAGACGAGTAGAAAGAGTTGCACCGAGGAAGCCCTTTGGAGGGGCCATGTGGTCCCCAGTGCCTCTCCCACCTCCTCCTCCTCCTCCTCCTCAGGCAGGAGGAGGCAGAGTTGCTGCTGCTGCCAATGCGCCAGGATAGAGAGATCTCGGCGCGGGAGGAGATGACGCAAAAGGCAGAGCTCCCCCCAAAAAAGTGTTTCTCCAGGACGAAGATGGCGGCAACTTAGCCCAGGGGCCCAAGATGCCTGTGCCCATCGGGGGCCCCCAGCCAGGCAGTTCCGCCCCGTGCGCCCGGGGACACCGCGCCCGGCGGCAGCAGCGGCGGCAGC